ATCTAGTAAATATACATGCTGCTCTTATATCCCATTCCCATTTTACATCTAAATCATGAATGAAATCATCATTACCACTAGCACCCCCCTCATCACACTCCACCCACTCATCCTCAGCCCCTCACTCGGTTTCACGTCTCCTGCTTCATCTTCCTCTCCTGTCGTGCACTTCGTAGGCTTACACCGTCTTGTCGAGGTGAGTGTTATTCTCGATGTGACTGTGGACGTAGTCGTAGAAGTGCTGGTATGCGTAGACGTCTTTGTGACCCACGTATCTGTTGTCTGCAGAGACTGGCAGTCTGTTGCCTTTGCGTCTTTAACGGTTGTTGTTGTTGTCGTTGTGGTTGTAGTTGTTATGTTTCTAGTTGTTGTTTCATGTGGCTTCACTTCCAGAGGCTTTAGATCGAGACATGTCTTCTCAATCTTTCCACATACTTTTTCTAATTCTTTGCAGTCTTTCTTAATCCCACAATCCGAGGTTAATTTCTCACATCTTTCTTTCAAGTCTACATATCTTCCAAATACTTCTGCTGCTAGATCAAATGCTTTGGCTTCCAATTCTGTCACTGTTACATCCTTAACTCCTCTCCGTAGTATTTTCGCATATTCTGTGGTATCTTGATGTTTGCTTGATGCGGTTTTATTTTTGTTATTGTTTTCACTATTATTTTTTGGTACATTATTTTCATCTTTTTTAACGAATGATAAAACAAGACTGGACTTGTTCATTGCTTCCTCTGCTTGTTTCTTAAGTTCCTCATATGTCTTAGAATCTTCTTTTAAGTCTTTTGCCGGCTGTTTCAGTTTCTCTTGTAATACTTTGCATTGTTGTTCCACCTCTTTTACTAATTTCTCACAGAGCTCTTTTCTAACTTTATTGTCATTCTTTTTAGGCTTATCATTAGTACTATCTTTGCATAATCCTCTAATTGAGGTGTTAGTTACATTTTCTAATACAGTGCAATATCTTTCTAATGCAGGTTCACATTTAGATTTATCACTTAAATTCCCTTGAAGCTCTATTTTAAGAGCGTCTTCCAAGGCCTTTCTTCTGTAAAATGGCTCACAATGCTTCTTGATCTTTGTACAAAAAACATTTTCTTTCGCAAGATCTGGACAATTAGGTGAAAATCTATTGCAGTACGGATACCAGGAAGAACAATTTCTTTCCAGTATTTTTATTTCATTTTTATTAATTTTAAGAAATTTGATGATTTCTGAAGCCTCTATATTTTTTTTGAATACTTTGCACCTATCTTGTACATCATCTACCATCGATTTACATGTAGCGTTTTGGAAGACACATATAAAAGAGAAACGGTCATCGCCTCTTCTAGACCATTTATTACACTTTTCTTTTAGATATTTTACACAACTTTCTTGATCTTTCAAAGTATCCTTGTGTTCATCTAGTAAAACCTGTTTCAAGATTTCTGTAGTTCCTAAGCGATCACATTGTTGCTTTAGTGTATGACATGGCCATTGAATCTGATTTGAATCCTCTCCTAAATCTTGGCATTTTCTCCCTAATTCCTTGCAGTCTTTGTCTGTTGGAAAATCTCGCTTTTGATCCAGTTGTTTCCGCAAAAAGACAGCTCTTGTTTGGATATCAGCTGCAAGTATTCTGACTGCTTTAAGTGGATCAATACATAGTAAAAACAACTCATCGCTCGTTGTTTTAAGTTCCGAACACTCTTCCATTATTTTATCCAGTAGTTTCTTAAACCATTTTTCACCTGAACCACGGAACAGTCCGTACATCTTGCTTTGAAATGCTTCATTGGCTAGTGCTTCAAGCCCTCTCTTATAACATGCTGCCTTAAAATTCTTGCATTCTTTTTCAAGAGGACCTTTATCTTGAGCAAAATAAAAACAGCTTGACTCTAACCTTGCACAGTCACTGTCACTAAGAAATGTCGATAATTTATACCATGGAATGGTTTCACCAGATCCAGATAGATGTTTGGTTCCAATTTTTGCAGAAAGAATTTTAGCACTGTTTGCTAGCTCTTTCTCTAGTTCTTCACACTTTTCAGTTCCATTTTGACTAGCAGAGCCATTATCATTACACAGATATCCCAAAACCTCGTGTTTTTTTAACTCTTTACACTTATCTTTAAGAACATTTTTGCATTTTTCTTTTTTTTCCGGTTGAGTATTAGTTGGATTTTGAATCAAAAGTGCTAGTAGAACAGTTGCATCTCTTACAGGAGGCTTTCCAATATGAACTCCATCCTTCTCAGCCTCTTTATAAAGCTCTTCTAGCCCTATGTCTTCTGCTAGTGTAGCCTCTGGTCTAGTTGGATCAAAATCGGGTCCTGGTGGTATATAAACAATATTTTGTTCTTGACATTTCTTTCCCAATACGTCACACTTTAATTTGTCTTCTTCGCAATTTCCTCTATAAAAATAACATTGTTCAAGCAGTGCTAAACATTTTCCTCGTAATTTATTTTCCTTTCCAAGTACTGCTTTAACATCCTGTTCAAGAGCATCACATTTTTTCTGTTTTTCTGATACAAATTTGCTACATGTTGTTTCTTGATAAAGACAAAGCTTCGTTAACTCATCACTTTCTTGACTCAATTCCAGGCAAATCTTTTTAAGTTTTTCTTTGCATTTATTTCCATTTTCAATACTCCCGCGAAGTGCCCTCAAAAGGACTTCTTCTGCTACACCATCACGTTTCCTCTGATAACACTTATTTCTCAAAGTATTGCAATCATCTTTAAGTTCTGTTGGACATGCTCTCTCCAAAAATAGGCATTGTTGTTCATTTTCACAATCACTACTTTGTAATTTTGAAACATCTTTTTTGGCAGCTTCTTCCAGTTTTGGTTTGAATTTAGTGCATTTATCTTCAACCTTGTTTTTCAACTCTGTACATTTGTCTTTCGCTTTTCCATTTTTACATAAACCTTCTAGTTTTACATGTATTTTTGTTAGATCTATTTTTGCTTCATTTAATTCTTTACAGTATTTTTCTAATTTATTTTTGCATTCATTATCATTCTTATAATCTTTTCCTGCAATTAAAGCCAAAAGAATTTCCTCTTCTTCATATAGACTAGTTCCTTGCACTACTTGCTGTGCCTGCCGCTTAACCGCCCGCGCCACCGCCCGCGCCAAGCTGTGCCTGACGGGGGTGGGCTGCGCTGTGGTGTGTGGTTGAGTTTGGGTTTCCATTGCGTATTTTGATTGAACGTGAGATGTTAGAACCATGTCTTCAAATTTGAATTATTCTTAATTAATTTTAAGGGTGTTCAAGTAAAAACTGAGATAACTGTGATAGGCAGGCATTATGTGTGCAAATATATTTAAGAGGTGTCCGCTTTCTTTAACGTGTAATTGGCTGCTTTCACGATATTTTAAATTTGTGTGGGGTAAATGTGGGGTAATCGTAAAATTTGAATAGATAAAAAGTAGATTATAAAAGGAGATAAACGAAAAATAAAAGCTATTCAGGCAAATAATAGGGGACAACTGGCTAGGGGACACGTATTCTTTTGGTTATAATGCACTTTCAATTGATGCTGAAGAGATCATACTCTACTCTTTCCTGCCCTACCCTGCCTTATCTGTTAAATATACATGCTGCTCTTATATCCCGTTCCCATTTTACATCTAAATCATGAATGAAATCATCATCGCCACTAGCACTCCCCTCATCACACTCCACCCACTCATCCTCAGCCCCTCACTCGGTTTCACGTCTCCTGCTTCATCTTCCTCTCCTGTCGTGCACTTCGTAGGCTTACACCGCCTCGTCGAGGTGAGTGTTATTCTTGACGTGACTGTGGACGTAGTCGTAGAGGTGCTGGTATGCGTAGACGTCTTTGTGACCCACGTGTCTGTCGTCTGCAGAGACTGGCAGTCTGTTGCCTTTCCTTCTCCCTCTGTCTTTGTTGTTGTAGTGGTGGTTGTGGTTGTGGTGGTTGTTGTCGTTGTTTCTACTTCGTATGGTTTCACTTCCAATGACTTCAATTCGTTGCATGCCTTCTCAATTTCACTGCATGCATTTTTTAATGTTGGGCATTCTTCTTTAAACCCACATTCTAATTTCAAAACTTTACATTCTTCATTGACTTCCACATACGCCTCCAGTGCTCTTGATACTGCATCGAAGGCTTCAACTTCTGCCTCGGTGACAAGTACTTCAACTGTTCCTCTCCGAACAAGCTTGACTTGTGTTTTTTGAGTCCTATTTGTTCCTCCTACTGATTTATTTTGATCGTTAGTTGCATTTTTCCCTGAATTCACTGCCACATTGTCAGCTGTATTTTTGGCATTCACTTCATTTTTCTTTAATGATGATAAAACAAGTTTTGCTCCTTCTGATGCTTTTTTTGCACCTTCATTCAATTTTTTGACTTCTTCTACTTTTGTTTTTATCCCTTCTTTCGCTGTATTTAATTTTGTAGACAATTCTGTACATCTTGTCTTTACTCGTTCTACTAGTTTTTTACATAAATCATCTCTAATCTTATCATTATCAACACCATTAGTACTATTGCATAGACTCTCCAATGTTTTATTTTTTGTCTTACTCCACTGTGTACAATATTGGTCAAGAGTTGTTCTACAGCTCACTTCTTCTTTAAGCTTCCCTCTAAACTCGTACATAACTTGTGTTTCCAGGTTATATCTTTCTCTGTATGGCTTGCAATTCTTTTTAAGTTTTTTACACACTTTATTGCCATCATTCATTAAATTATCACAGCTAAACATGAATTTGTCACAATACGGTTCCCAAAAACTGCAAGTTTTTTCTTTTTGGTCTTCTTTTTTTGCATCTTCTACAACTTTTAGAGTCTCTATATGTTTTTCCAATGAACTACATTTAAGTATAAGACTTTCTGTGATGATCTTGCATGTAACATTCTGTGCTACACATCCAAGAGCAAACTGTGTTTTCCTTTTTTTAACCCAATGATTGCATTGTTCTTCGACATTTTCTCTACAGACGGTTTCATTTTTTAAATCTTTTATTTTTTCTTCCAATAGCCTCTCTTCTAATTGTCCTACAACATTTAGTCTATTACAATGATGCACCAGCGTATGACAGGGCCACTCAAGTCCTTTAAAGTCTTGTTTTAAATCATCGCATTTCTTTTGCAATTCCTTGCAATCCTGCTTCGTAGGGAAATCACGTTTTTTATTCAAATCTTCCAGTAACAAATCTGTCTTTATATACAAATCATCTAATAATGTAAAAATTGCTTCTGTTGGCTGCAAACACAAAACAAATAACTCATCGCTCTTTTCTTTCAAATCCATACATACTTTTACCAGCTCTTTTTGATGCATCTCAGGCCATTTATCGTTTCTGTCATGAAACTTCCCTCTCATTCTGTCTTGTAATACTTGATTTGCTAATGCATCAAGACCCCTTTTATAACACGCTGCCTTAACACTTTTGCACCATTTGTCAAGAGATGTTTGACTTTTAAAATAAAAGCAATCTGATTGGAATCTCGTGCAGTCATTTTCAGTAAGGAATCTTGGTAATTCGCTCCATAATTCAATTTTATTTTCAAATTGTTTGCTTTTAAGCTTTGTAGTTAGAGTGTCCTTTTTTCTGCCAAATTCTTTTTCAAATTCTTCACATTGATTTTCATGACTGCTTGTATTTTCACATAATTCCTTTATATTTTTTGCCAAATATTTAATAGAATTACATTTAGAACTGAGTACTTTCTTGCATTTATCTTTATCAAAATTGTCTTCTGACAGAAATACTAATAAATCAACAATATCTTCTTTTAATACTCTTCCAATCAAAACTCCTTGTGCTGCCGCTTCCTTATAAAGTTCTTCCAAACCTATTTTTTCTGCCAGTGTAGCCTCTGGTCTTGTAGGATCAAAATCTGAACCTGGCCCTTTGTAGATAATTTTTTTTTCTTTAGTTTTATTTACGAGTTTTTCACATTCTGGTTTATCTGGATTTTTGCAGTTTTTCCCATAAAAATAGCATTTCTCAAGCAAAGGATGCCCTTTTTTCTTTAATTCGTTATTAGCAGTTAGTATATTTTTTATTTCTGCTTTCAAAGATTTACACTTTTCTTCTGCTGCTTTTACTAAAATTGTGCATGTAGAGCTCGTATCAAAACACCTTTGCATCAACTCGTTACTTTCTTGACCCAATGTACGACAAACATCCTCAATCTTCTTTTTACATTTAGCTTCATTTTCAAGATTTCCATTAAGAGCCCTTAAAAGAGCTTTTTCTGCCACTTCATCTCGCTTCTTTTGATAACACTTATTCCTTAGTTCATTGCATTTATCTTTAAGAACATCAGGGCATGCTCCCTCCAAAAATAGGCATTGTTGTTCATTCTCTTTACAATCTTTATCTGATGGACTTGCTAACTTTCCTTCTAGTTTATCTGTTTTAAAATCATTGCATTTTTTGGTGATTTTATTTTTCAATTCTGCGCATTTTGTTTCCTGCTTTTTATTCTCACAGAAACTTTCAAGCTTTTCATGTATTTCTTTTTCTTTCAATGAAGCACTTTTCAGCCCTTGACAATATTCTTTTAATTTATTTTTACATTCATCATCATTCTTATAATCTTTTCCTACAATTAAAGCCAAAAGAATTTCCTCTTCATATAGACTAGCTCCTTGCGCCGCTTTTGCCTGCCGCTTAACCGCCCGCGCCACCGCCCGCGCCAAGCTGTGCCTGACGGAGGTGGGCGCGCTGTGGTGTGGTTTGAGTTTGAGTTTCCACTAATGTGTTTTAGTTGCATGCGATATTAGAGTTATGTCTTCAAATTCGAATATTAAATTGTTTCTAATTAATTTTAAGGGTGTTCAAGTAAAAACTGAGATAACTGTGATAGGCAGGCATTATGTGTGCAAATATATTTAAGAGGTGTCCGCTTTCTTTAACGTGTAATTGGCTGCTTTCACGATATTTTAAATTTGTGTGGGGTAAATGTGGGGTAATCGTAAAATTTGAATAGATAAAAAGTAGATTATAAAAGGAGATAAACGAAAAATAAAAGCTATTCAGGCAAATAATAGGGGACAACTAGATAGGGAACACGTGATTTCATGTGTAATGCACTTTCAATTGATGCTGAAGAGATGACTCAATCTACTTTACTCTTTCCTGTCCTACCCTGCTCGTTTATTTACTAAATATACATGCTCATCATTAAATCTTGCTCATTTGCTTTCTAAATCATGAACGAAATCATCATTGCTAATATCACCCCCCTCATCACGTTCCACCCACTCATCTTCAATCCCTCACTCGGCTTCACGTCCTCTGCATCATCCCCTGTCGTACACTTGGTTGGTTTGCAACGCCTTGTTGATGTGAGTGTTATTTTTGATGTGATTGTAGATGTGATGGTAGACGTGCTGGTATGTGTCGAAGTCTGTGTAATCCATGTATCTGTTGTCTGTAAAGATTTGCATTCTGTTGCCTTCGGATCGGTAACGGTCGTTGTTGTCGTCGTGGTCGTCGTTGTGCTTTCTGTCACTGTTTCGTGCGGCTTCACTTTCAGTGGTTTTAATTTCGAACATACTCCTTGTATCTTTCCACATACTCCTTCTAAATCCTTGCAATCCTCCTTAACTCTGCAATCTGATTCCAATTTATTACATCTTTCTTTCAAGTCTAGATATCTTCCAAATACTTCTGCTACCAAATCAAATGCCTTAGCTTCAGATTCTGTTACGGATACATCCTTAACTCCTCTCCGTAGTATTTTCATATGTTCTGTGGTATCTTGAAGTCCGTTTGAAACGGTATTTTTATCCTTGTTTTTGCTACTATTTTTCGATGCATTATTTTCATCTTTTTTAACGAATGATAAAACAAGATTGGACTTGTTCATTGCTTCCTTTGCCTGTTTCTTAAGTTTCTCATATGTCTTAGAATCTTCTTCTAACTCTTTTGCTGGTTGTTCTAATTCTGTTGATAATGTTTTACATTGTTCTTTCACTTCTTCCACTAACTTCTCACAGAGTTCCTCTCTAACTTTATTGTCATCTTTTTTAGGTTTTTTATCAGTAGTATCTTTACATAATCCTTTAATTGGCGTATTAGCTGCATTTTTTAATACTTCACAATATCTTTTTAATGCAGGTTCACATTTAGATTTATCACTTAAATTCCCTTGAAGCTCTACTTTGAGAGCATCTTCCAAGGCCTTTCTTTCATAAAATGGCTTACAATGATCTTTGATCTTTGTACAAAGAGTATCTCCTTTAGTAAGATCTGGACAATTAGGTGAAAATCTATTGCAGTACGTATGCCAGGAGGGACAGTTTCTTTCCAGTGTTGTTATGTTATTCGTGTTATTTTTAAGAAAATCAACGATCTCTGCAACCTCTATATTTTTCTTGAATACTTTGCACTTATCTTGTACGTCTTTTACCATCAGCTTACACGTAGCATTTTTGAAGACACATACAAAAGAGAAACGGTTATCGCCTCTTCTAGACCATTTATTACATTTTTCTTTTAGATATGTTACACAGTTTTCATGAGTTTTCAAAGTATCCTTGTGTTCATTCAGTAAAACCTGCTTCAAAATTTCTGTAGTCCCTAAGCGATTGCATTGTTGCTCCAGTGTATGACATGGCCACGTAATTTCTTTTGAATCCTCTCCCAAATCTTGGCATTTTCTCCCTAATTTTTTGCAGTCTTTATCTGTCGGAAAATCTCGTTTTTGATCCAACTGTTGTCGTAAAAAGATAACTCTCATTTGATGATCGTGTGTAAGCAACCGGGCCGCTTTTGCTGGCTGTACACACAGAACAAATAGTTCATCGTTTGGGAAATTTTCTTTATTTTCTTTTAGTTCCTTGCATACTTTTACTAATTCTTGTTGAAACTTTTCAAGCCAGCTTTTGTTTGAACCATGTAACATTCCTCGCATATTTTCTTGCAGCACTTTATTTGCCCGTGCATCAAGCCCTCTCTTATAACACGCTGCCCTCACATTCACACAAGCTTCTTTAACATCTGGACAGCTTTCTTTAAAATAAAAGCAATAAGATTCTAGTTTTGCACAGTCCTTATTACTAAGAAATGTTGGCAATTCTCCCCACCCAACAATTCCTTTATTTCCTTTTTTCGGGTCAAAAAGGCGATTATTAATGACTTTTGAAGTGAGAATTTTGCAAGTTTTGTTAACATCGTTTTTCAATTCTTCACACTTTTCTTTTCCGTAATCACTTAAAGTATTATCCTTACATAGTTTTTCCAAGGCTTCATGTTCATGAGGGTTTTTGCAGCTTTTTTGAAGGGTTTTTATACATTCTTGTTTTTCAAGGTTTTTATTAAGCAACGCCAATAAAGCTGTCGCATCTCTTAGATGATTCTTTCCAATAAAAACCCCATCATCCTCTGCCTTCTTATAAAGTTCTTCCAGCCCTATGTCCTCTGCTACTGTAGGCTCTGACTTAGTTGGATCGAAATCAGGTCCTGGATGTATATAAATGACGCTTTTTTCTTCACATTCTTCTGCTAATTCATCACACTTTGGTAGATATTCCTCACAGTTTCCATTTGGAAGTTTGCATTTTGATTTGTCTCCTTCGCAGTTCCCTCTGTGAAAGTAACATTTCTCAAGTAATGGTAAACATTTTCCTTGTAATTCATTCTTCTTCTTAAGTGCTTCTTCGACTTCTTGTTTTAGAGCACTACACTTACTTTTTCCTTTTTTTACAAGATCTGCGCATGTTTTCTCCTGTTCAAAACATAACATTGTCAACTCATCACTTTCTTGGCCTATTTTTGGGCAAACATCCTTTATTTTCTTTTCACATTCAGCTTCTTTCTCCAAGTCCCCACGAAGTGCCCTCAAAAGAGCTTCTTCTGCTACTCTGTCACGCTTCTTTTGATAACACTTATTCCTTAATTTATTGCAATTCTCTGTAAGATCATCAGGACATGCTCCCTCCAAAAATAGGCATTGTTGTTCATTTTCTTTGCAATTCTCATCTGTTAATCCTGAAGCTTGTTTGAGTATTTTATCGAGTTTTCCTTTAAATTCAGTGCATTTATTTTGAACGCTAGTTTTCAATTTTTGGCATTTTGTTTTCATTTTTCCATCATCACAGAAGTTTTCAAATTTTTCGTAAATTTGTTTTAATTCTACTTTTACTTTTTTCAACGCTTCACAGTATTCTTTCATTTTTTTTTGACATTTTCCTTCATCTTTAGCATCTTCTTTTAGAATCAGTGCCACAATATGTTCTTCTTCAAGATCCTTATCTGCTTTTACATTCCGCTTAACCGCCCGCGCCACCACCCGCGCCATAATCTAGAGGACATTAATGTGAGAGAAAGCGTACTTGTTGGGTGTGTGGGCAGGTTTTTAAAGCTGTTTCTATTTTATATTGTCTTCATTAAGATGTTGAATATTGAAAGTTTTAAAGGTAGTTTTTTGAGAAAAAGAGCAATTCTGTGCCATTTCTGTATTAATGACGATGTTTAAAGTGTCTTTTCAATTAATAATATGAGTATAATTTGGAAATACTTAAAAATTGAGGTTTGCATTTGAATTCGATACTGGAATCTTTAGGTCTGATTAATCTTCATGTTGTTGCACTAAATATTTATGCACTGTTTAATATTCATGTTGAACATTTTTTTATTGGATATTCCTAAAGTTCTTCTTGAGTCTCTCATATCTTTCTCTAGGGAATTCTCCTTCAGATCACTTTTTAGAATATCT